AGGAGTGTGGTTACCTTGACCAGGAAAACAGGGACTTGTAGATATTTCTTCTGCATCACTTGATGGGTGTCTGGTGGTGGGCAAGGGAGAGTTGGGGGCAAACCTGCCAGAAAACCCCTCCCTCTTTGTGACCTATGTGTGATGTGTCTGTGATGTACGCATGATGCTTCACCAAAGGTGTTCACAATGGGCCGCAGGCCAGATCCAGGCGGCTACTCTTAAGAAAGACCCAACTGTCGGGGAGGGGGTTGTGAAATCCCCAAAAAGGATGTTACTTTTTTTCTGTATGCCACAACAGCTGTGAGATATTACTAGCGAAGAATTGGAAGAAACAAGATTTGCCAACTATCGAAGAATGGCAGATGAAGATGAAGGACTGTATGGAATTTGCCGAACTGACCGGGAGACTCTGAGACTAGAGAGAAGAGATGGTGGAAGAAGATTGGAAGAAGTTTAAGGAATATTTGAAAAAAATATGTTAATATTTAAATCTTAGAATAGCTTTGGAAGTGGATACAGGCTGTAGGGTTAGAAGTAGAAGATAGTGTGTTTTAAAATAGTATTATTTGTAAAGGATAAAATGTGAAGATTATTATGGTAAAAGTAAGGGTGATTAAAAAATGGTTAAAAATATGATATATGTAAACTGCTAAAGGTGAGGAAAATGAAAATCATATAGGGGGCACTTGGGGAAGCTCACCTAACAATGTTTGGAAAAAATAAGGACAAGACAAGAATTTGTTTGTATTGTTTGTTTTTCCGTTTGTGTTGTTTAATTGTGTTATAAAATGAATTGAAAAAATTGAAAAAATAATAATAAGAAAGACCCAAGTGTCTCTCCACTGGTGAAGAGTATTGTTCTTCAGTATTGCTCCTGAACCCAGAAGGACTCTTGGATGTGGGGGAATCGAGGGGCCCTTTGCTCCAGGGTGGCGCCCCACTAGAAGCCACAAGGCAGAGCCCAGCTCTTTAATCAGAGCCACACCTTTTTATTTACACTCTTCCAGGTGCAAAGAGCCCCCCCAAAAAAGTCCAGGCTCAGGGCAGCTCAAGTAGGGAGGAGAGGGGCAGGGGGTCAGTCCGTGAGGCTGAGGGAAAGCGCCAGGGGGAGGAAGAAGGCGACCCCCATGCCAGGCTCACCCGACCTCGAGAGGCCCC